AGGGGAGGGTCAACTGTGTAATTTTTTTTTCTAATAATTCAACGGCCTGTCGTCAATTATTCTGCTTATACTACAGTTACCACACCTCTCAAAACATTGTTCAGATGATGCATTTCAAGTTTTTGTCATTAAAACGCTCTTGTATGTTTCTTATGCATCTAATCCCATGCCTCCATTGCTAATTCCAAAACGTCATTTTAGAGGTAGTAACGGAGGTTTGAGCCACTGATAGCAGACTAATGATGGGGACACACTTAAGACTAGGGCTGGGCGATATGGCCTAAAAAAATTTTTTTTCACAAAAAATCCGATTTACGATTTAAATCGATTTTTTTCTGTCCCTACTTAAAATCAATCTGCAGATGACAAAGAAATTGTTCAAAACAAGTTTAACTTTATTTAGTATTGATATTCCCTTCTGTGACATTATCTGGATTAAAGTGCAATCAGAAACAACAAGCCAAAAAGACAAGAGGGCAGACCCTGTCATTGTAAATAGTGTAAATGTAACATAACATGAAATGGGTGGATTGGGATTGTAAAAAATAAATAAATAAATAAAAACAACTTGCACCACAATAAGTTTATTGTGATGGTCAAATTATTTGGTAACTAAACATAATTTTATTAGGTTTATTAACCATAAACACAATGTTTACATGGTACAAAGACTGTATGCTTTTTATTATTGCTTAACACAAATTTCACAATTTCAAAGATTTGATTCTGATATTGATTCAATATCAATTCCTTTGGAATAAATATTAGGTACAGTAGATACGTTAATGTGTTATGTTAATTGTTCAGATGAATGAATGGACAGAAAGAATGAAAAGTTTTGTATTTTCAGTTGAAAACAGTGTCGTGTGAACACTGGAGACTAAGTTAATAACTAATGATTTTAGAAACAGTCGGTCTTCGAATATTTCAGCAAATCTTAAGTGTATCCCCCATCATTAGTCTGCTATCAGTGGCCTCCATTTCTACCTCTAAAATGACGTTTTGGAATTAGCAACGGAGGCATGGGATTAGATGCATAAGAAATTAGTCCAACATACAAGAGCGTTTTAATGACAAAAACTTGACAAACGTCTTGAAATGCATCATCTGAACAATGTTTTGAGAGGTGTGGTAACTGTAGCGGAATAATTGACGACAGGCTGTTGAATTATTAGAAAAATAATGCACACCCGAAGTGGTAATGCGGTCACGACGCGAATCGGAGTTTGAAACAATCTTTGAAGCAGATTGTTTCAAAGATCTGTATTATAAATCTGTATTATAAAAATTACATTATATTTAAATTAAAGTGACTAAAAGTAGCCAAACAGCCACACATTATATATTGCTATTGACCTTGATTTATTATCATTTTTATGTAATCTCTCAGTGAAGAAATAGACTTGTTTACTTGAATTTTTTTTTGTTTTTTTTTGTGGTAGACAAACAGTATAATTAAAGCTGGAATTTTAATCAGCCATTTGTTTGCCAGTGTGTCATGTTTAATCAGAGAGCCACAATGCTGTAGGTTTAACAGGCATAGTCTACTTCCAAAAACTCTCTACATGATGTTTTAAGGCCTGTTACAAATAAGAGAGTGTGAGAGAGGTTGACATTTAGTTGGTTGAACTCCAGGCACCTATTATTAGCACATGCTAATATACCTTAGCATTCATTATTTGAATCTTTATTCTACACACAGTTTAGACCAAATTTGTGTGTTAATAAAGAGGCTTAGATAAATAGGTGATAATGGTCGTGTATTACTGTTAAATCAACAGACTGAATTGTCAGGTAAATACCCAGGAGAATATATCAAGGTAACAGCATGTCAGAACGATAGGATGAGAACGACAGGACTTGGCTCGTTGTCATTAATCAGGTCTTTACTTCGGTAATCAACCCATATAATTACTGTAGCTTAAAGCACTGTCAATCATCCGCGTAATGCTTTTCATTGAAAAGTCCTTGCAAACAATATTCGGCTCCAGTGAATTATGTTGAATTAGCTCTCTATTGTGTTGAAGAAACAATTTGTGACTTTAGACAATTGTGATCCCTATAGTACAGTTAATTTAGTATTCAAAGCGACTAACAACAGACTAGGATAATCTTACAGGAAACTTATTATGAGGATTATCTCCCCTTATCTGCTTAGTGTAAAGTAATTGTTTAAGGGCACATAGCAACAACTCATTTCAATCCTTATGTTAATCCAGCAACCTTCTGGCTTTTAGCCCTGAGCTTTAACCTTTACACCGCAATACCCTATAATAATGCTAATATTCTATTCCACTTACTAGTATACAGCATAAAGTATACAGTATAAAGCAACTATTATTGTTCCATCTTGTGACAGAAGTTTAATGATTCTGGATCATGAGATTCAGCAGCTCTGGTTTAATGGTTAAAGTCTGGTTTGCTGTGATGCTTGAAGAAGCCTGTAACAGTGCACAGTGCCAGCACTTTACTGAAAGGGCCTTTTTTCCACAGACCGCCTCCCCATAGTGTTCTTTTTCTTGTACCACACGATTTAAATTACTGCATCACCTACACTGAACACAATACCATGATTGTGAAATAATGCTTTGCTGCTCGTTAGTAATTTGGTTCAAATATGTTGTAGCATAGTAAGCCATCTAGGGTTATGACTTCACATAATTTTGAGTTACTAACTGACGATAAAGCTCTGCAACTTCTTTTTTCATATCAATAATAATAGATAATACATCCTGACACCACAGATATTGCTTATTGGTTTGACGAGGTGATGCATGTGAAAATTATGCAATTGCAACATATTTAGCATTATACAAATTGGCCATAGTATCTGTAGTGCAATTTCAGTGAAAGGTTGAATTAATAAATAAACTTTGTCTTCTCTGCAGAAAAAAAGGATAGAGCTGGTATAGTGTTGTTCTAGCAGGTGGACAACAATGTTTTTAAGCAAAACTGAGCTGATGCAACTGGTTCACCAGCACTCTCACTCCCCATGCTAGTGACTAGCAAACCAGTAGCCATTATCCCATGCGGGTCATAGCACGAAAAACATACCTTATGCTGGTGACCAGCAATGCAGAATTTTTCAGCAGGGTTTAAGCAAGTTTTTCAGCAAGTTTAACCCTTGTGCATCAATTAAAAAAAGTTACACACAGGTAAAAAGAGGACAAAAATGTCCATGTCAAAAAACTGTCATACAAATGTGACGCTTTGGAGCACAGACTTAAGTTTGGTATCATTTTAAAGAAGACCCTTTGCAGATTATTGCTGAAGTAAAATAATAATAATAAGTAAATCATCATAAAGTTTATGAAAATTATTTATAAAAAATATTTTACAGAAAATATATATTTTATAAATCAGGTTGAACTCAAAACTGCAATAAAATCAAAGCCATAAAATCTAAATACAGTAGGTTGTGTTCCAAATTTGAGGGTGATATCTCAAAAAATGAGCTTTCGGTAACAGTTTGTTTGGGCGTAGTAACATATTTTCCCCATTGGGTGCCAGCAAAACCCCACTGGCGCTCACAGTGATTGGATTTGAATTTGCAGTTTTTCTCTCTCAGTATTACAAACACACACATGCGCACACACACACACATATTTTTATATAACACACATACTAACCACACTCTGACATCCATACCAACACACCCACACAAATATTGTTGCATAATTTATCCAGTTGGCTCTATAGTATGTCGAACCAGAAAACAGGAATAAAGCGATATTTGTTTTATAGGCCAAACTTTAAAAAAAAATGGCACCATCTGATAAAAAATAGTAAAAAATAAAAATTTGAAGCCTTGCCATCAGAATGAAAGCCTCTCAACAAAGATTGCAAAATTTTATAGTTAACTGAACCGGGGATTAAAAATGGCAGTTTTAATGGGTTTCAATGGGGACATTTTTGTCCAAAAGGTGCTGAGAGGGAGTATTTTTTGTACCTAATGCAAAAAATATTTTTTTAAGAAAATGACGGTGAAATAGTAAAATTCCAATAAAAACACACACTTGTGCCAAGTTTTTTGCAGTTAGCTTTAACACAGGCAAAGTGATGGAAAAAAAAATTAACTGAAAAGGAAAAAATTTCCATAAGGATGCACAAGGGTTAATGACAGCAGTAGGAGCTGCATGGATGAACCCAACAAGTTTGTATAAAACCTCATCATTGTGTACTCCAGCATGTCTTCTTACCTCAAACATCTGTCTTTATCAAAGTGTCACATGATCAATGTTACAAATTTACTTTTTTGATTAGTGAGAGAATCTAAAATAAATATTCTCCTAGTTTACTTCTAGGTTTTAAATTCTAGTTTTTAAATCGTGGTCTCAGACTTTGTAAGCCTACTTTATATATTTCAACTATATATATAATTTTTAATGTGCAGGGTTAGACTTAAAAACCTAACAGGATTCAGTCAAATTAGTAGGCAAATCATATCCGGACAAGAATGTAAATTACTGAGCATTAATACAAAAACTAAACATTTAGCTAAACAGCATACAGGCTGCACTGACATTCTCCCACAAAAAAAAAAAGCATCATGTTATACAACATCTGGTAAATCATTGTGTATATCAAGAGTAAACAATTGGTTTATTTCCAGCTGAACGTCCCTTAGCTATGGGAGCAAATGTTTGTCAGTGATCTTAACAGCACTCAATTTGTTACTGGAAGAGTGTTCTACATTCCTTTAAATACATTTGTGCTGGCTGCCTGCTCACTTAGACACCTCTCTCTCTCTCTCTTTGATGCAAACAGCTATTCCTCACATTCAGGACTGATAGAGCCTAAAATGTTAAAACACGCAGATACAAACCAAATCATAACATTTACAGTCATTAAACCAGAGGCCTGGAAGGTAATATTTGTATATTCTGAGTCATCTTATATTTCACTCCGATATTGAAATGATGGTATATTATTCTGAAGAAGTGCTAGTAAAACATGCCATATTAAAAAAAAAAGAAGAAAAAAGAAAAGAAAAACATAAGTTCATTCATCATAGAAACATAGGCTTTATTTCTAAGAGAAACACAGAGTATAGTACAACATTCTTTCAAACAAACATCTTTCTTTGCAGTAGAAAAATATGTAGGCATACACTGTGGCTTGTGTAGGCCCCTTTTTACATTCAACCTACATGATCCCTCTCCGCAATTACAGCAGCTTACAGTTCATTACAGTCCACCATCACCTTTGTTCAAGGCGTCAACCTCAACCGAATTTTCTATTTCAGTGAAAGGGGGGACATAATCATGAAAAAGGCAACAATCTCATTCAGTATTAGCATTCTCTTTAACCACTCTTCCTCACATACTACGACCTCTTTAAAGTTATATCCAAAAGTCCCTCATCTTCTTTTCTCCAAATAACACTGGAGAATTTCCACACAACACGGGTCATAAATCACAATGCAGCTCACACAGGCACGCACAAAAACCATAGCAGCAAAAATGTTGTAGGAAAGAAGTGTAAAATACATCAAGAGACATAGGAAAAATTGGAAGTGCAACAGCAGGGATTTAGCACTTAATGGGCATCATTATCTCTCATGGACTCCCTTATAATGCATCATGCCAAGTGCATTCACTAAAAAGTGACCGATAAACTGGTACTATCAAATGAGATACACATTTCTCACATTTGAGAACTTCAATATGAAGCAATCTCATATTGTACCAGATTATTCCACTTCCATAATATGAGAATAACATGTTTTATGCAGTGCTGCTCTTGAAGGGACAGTTCACCCAAAATTGAAAATTCTGTCATCATTTACTCGCACTTATGTCGTTTAAACCTTTACAACTTTCTTCCTTCGGTGGAACATTAAGGAAGATATTTCCTATAAGAATGTTTTTATCCATATAATGACAAAGTGAGTCACTGGGGTCCAAAACGATATTCTACGGCATTTACTTTCTTTATATATCATTATATTTGATCTCCTTTTGTGTTAGAATAAAGAAATGTATACAGGTTTGGAATGAAATGAAGTTGAGTAAATGACAGAACTTCCATCCTTTAAAGGATGACTTAAATTACATATTTATGTCCAGTTACATTTCAGAAGCAGGATCCCCAAAATTCAGTGATTTCAGATGGGTAACAATAAAATGATTGCTCTTCAAGGTAACAAAATAGTGTTTTTAAGAATCTATTTCAGAGTAAGTTTGTTTACTTTATACAAAGACATTTGTAAAGATATCTGAAACTATGCCATTGTATTACAGTTAATCACAGAAAAACACAAAGGAAGGCATCTATGTTATGAAAATTATTGGTTTACCTCATGTCAGATCTACAGAATAGTGTACATAGTGTGGTACAAATTTAGACAAATAACATAAACCAACATTTTTCATTCTGAGTAACTGTCATATGTTTAACATGGTTAGTCTCAAATTTGCATAATTTCAGAGCCCAAACATCTAATTTTAAGCTAAACGTGTATCTCAAAAACATACACCAACAATAAAATAATTTGGACAAACATGGCCAAAAAGAGCTTTCTTTTGAGGGTGTTATTGCTAAATGCTACTTTCATGAGACTTTTCGTCAATTTTGAAACGAACTAAGCGCTCCATTTGCATTTGCCCTTGTTACAAGATTTACTTCAAATTCTTCAGAGGGTCTTGAACTGTCACCAGTAGGGGGTAGTGTTCTCAATATGACCCCAGCTCTGCCACTCGGGGAAGAATCCACTAGATGTTCTTGGGCTCCCGAACTGATCAAACTCCATCTCTGGCCGTTTGCCTTTATTCTTAAAATCTGTTGTCGTCGTTTGGGTGACATTGGCCTGACTGGGGTCATTCTCTGTATGTACCAGCTTGTAATTTTCCCCGTTGTTATTGTCCCAGTATGTCGTATCATGCGTTTTGTAGGATATGCAGAACTCCACCTGCTCATGTAAGGCCACAGAACTTGGAAGGTCGATGGAAAACGAGAAGGTGTCAACATCTTCGCAGCCATAAACATTATTCATGTACGTACAAGGAATTTCAGCATAGCTTTTCCATGAATCAAATGTTATTCGCACATGGACGACCTTCTCAAAGCTTACATTGATCACTTTGACCGTGCCAGTGAGTGATCTCTCTTGAATTATACAGTTTTCCAAGCATACCAGGTTCTTCTTTAGACTGTTTCGGAAGTCCAAATAGTCTGCGGCAGGCTGAGGAAAGTCCAAAATCAAATTCTTCTCCTCAGCCTTTAGGCCCACAATGACATCCTCCAGGTCTGATAATTCAAACTGCAGGTCTAACATGGGGTCTTCCTCAAATTCCTTAAACACATGAACTGCTGTCAGAGACATGCCTTTGGAGTCAGCAAAAACCACTTTCTTTTTAGCTTTGGTCTCGGGACTCTTCCATCCAAGGTTGGCAGTGTTCACGTCGGTCTTTGAGCTGATGCAGGATCGCAGAGGTTTGTACTGGTTGACTAAGTACCTGGACTTGCAGTCCTCATATGAACTGAGGAAACTGCGAAGAGGCGGTGAGTGTGCCAGACAGATTCTCATTGCCACATCCACAGGCATAATTGGACTTGGCATTGGCCTGGGGTTCAGTATCTGCAGAACCCTGTCATGAAAACAATGGTGAAAAACATTACAGTGACCAATTAAGCAGGAGATGTGACAGTCACATAAAGATTCGCCCAGAATTTAGAGATCGAGTAAACAAAACCACTATTGTGTAGCTAGATTAAGCTATTTCAAAAACAATTAGCCATAGCTGTTGATTTAAGCTTTTCTAATTATAAATATTTAAAATATTTATTTTTAATATGATAAAATGCCAGATGTATAGTTAAGAATTGGGATACATCCAAAAGCAAAAATGTATAAAACATACAAAACTAAAATATTGATTCCAGTTTTCACTGTAGTCACTAGTACCTTGTTAGACACTAGTGTGTTTCAATTGTTACTAGTTACATTATTTATTTATTTTTACCTATAACGTAGGCAATCTGGCTAGTCATTACTTCAAATAAGAAATATTACTGGTTACATGTGGGATAGGCAATGATTTCTACCACTAACATAGGCAATCTGACTAGTCATTACTTCAAATTAGAAATTACTGGTTACATTTGGGATAGACAGTGTCTCAAAAATAGGCACTAGTTTAACGCGTAGTAAAGCTATAACAGAGACTAGAAACTATAATATGTACTATAAACTACCCATACTTAAACAACATATGCAATACTAGTCTAGACAAAAGTGAATAAAAGTGAAATCTGTATGAAACCCCATATAATTCACAGGTAAAATTAATTAATAATAATAATAATAAAATAGTTAACTTGTGGGTAGTAGTAAACGAAATATGAAGTATAGTGACAAATAGATTAGTAACAGGCTAGCAGTCACTTTTGGAACAAATAACCAACTAGTATCTGATGCATTTACAAATATCTATACAAAGAGGAATTGAAAAAGACAGTTAACCAATTATCACCAGCTATTACAATTTTACCAGCAATTAAAAAAAATACTAATAAGTAAGTAAGTAAGTAAGTAAGTAAGTAAGTAAGTAAGTAAGTAAGTAAGTAAGTAAGTAAGAACAGCTTAACACTGGCAATGTCCAAATAATAATTGAATAAAATAAAAACGACATATATTAAACTGAATCTAAATTATAAGTGAAATTCAGAGGTAATCTTTTCCAGCGCTCAGATAGAAGTGATAAACCCCCTTGTGACGCACTCTGTATTCTTACCTGGTGCAATTCATTGAAACCCGTGGTTTGTTTCCCAAACGGCAGACGTTTGTTCTGCTATAGTTTGAACAAGTACAGGTTTTGCCTACGTGCTTTTAAACTTCATTTAAAAACGTGACGACCACCATAACTAAAAACCCGCTCGGCACGGCACGCCCCCTTCACGGTCCAGCTCAACTGCAAAAGTCAAGCGAGCGTTCAGCCGGTACATCAAGCCTCTGCGCGCATTGGTTTACGGTAACCCACCCTGAGAGCCAATGGGAGAGCGCGAGAGCGAAGTGTTCCAGCAATCAGGACGCAGAAAATAATCAGCCATGGCGCGCGTGCAAGGCACTGGCAGATCAGCCCAGCTGTGTATGGCAAGCTGTTTTAACATTTAATCATTTAACCGTACCAGTCTCTATTTTCATGCTACTAGTACTTATTTTTTTACATACTAGTATCTATTCCATTAAGCACTAGTACTTATTCATTACAATATTCTTTAGGTACGAGTGCCTTCTTTAGTATCCCAGATAGCACAAGTCTATTTAAGACATAGTCTAATAAGACATATTTTAAAGAGTGTTTGCTCATCTGCAATACGTATAGGACATCTTCTTTCAGATGTCAAATAGACGTTTAGAAGATGTCAGTTTAACATGCATTCTAAATCATTACATCTTAAAGACATCTTCTAAACGTCTATTTGACATCTGACAGGGACGTCCTATAGACGTATTGCAGATGAGCAAACACTCTTTAAAATACGTCTTCCAGATGTAAATATTACATCAAATAGACTTGTTGTTTAGGTATTAGTACCTACTACGTATTCATTAAATACTAGTACTTATTCATTAGATACTAGTTCTTATTCATTAGTTTACTTATGATTAGATACTAGTACTTATTCATTAGATACTACTTATTCATTACATACTCCTAGGAAATATTTGTATTTTCATTAGTTACTAGAACTTATTCTTTAGATACTAGTTCCTATTAAATAGATACTAGTACTTCATCAGTTATTCATTAGTACTTATTTCGATAGTGACTAGTGCTTTCGTCAACGAAAATTATGACTAAATATTGTCGTCAACGAACCTTTATCACGTGACGAAAACGAGACGAGACGCAACGTAAATGCTGGTCGTGTGACGATGACTATAACTAAATGTATAATGCAATATCTTTGATGAATAAAAACGAGACTAATGCTGCGTCCCAATTCGCTTACTTATACTACGCCCTAAAAGTATGTACTCTTTTTGTGAGGAAAAAGTACATACTTTCGAGTGTGTAGCAAAAGAGTAGGCAAGCTTTGGGACATACTATCACGTCATCTTTGTCACGTGCTGCGTGCATCCTGTCAACGTAAACTGCCCTGTCAATCATCTTGTCACAGTTAAAATCCTCCATTCTATCTAATTTTATTTCCTACCGTTTCGGAGAGCACATTCATCTGCCAGTTGTGGGTCTGTCATGCTCTGCTCGTGTTTGCAATTTGAATATGATGATGCATTTAAAACATAATGGCTAAACGTGTTGTGGTGTGGGGGGCGTGGTTCAGTGCTGTCTGCATCGGGAGAGCGGGGGAGGAGCTGAGCGGGAGGTAAGCGGGTCAAGTTCAAATGATAAACACCTGTCTGTGATTTCAGTGATTGGCGTTGGGAGAGCGTATTTAAGCGGGCCAGGTGGACGCGACAGTTGAGATAGAGCCTGGAGCTTGTGTGTGTGCGTCTGGGACTAAAGTGGAGCCTTGCCTGTGTCTGATCCTTGATCGTGTCCGAGAGAAGCTGTAATCAGCGGAAAGAGTGCCACGTCAGAGAACGAAAGAGAAAGAGTTTGATTTACTGTGACTGTTTTGAGTTGAAAGTGACAAGCGCTGAGGCGCTGTGGAAAAAGTATTTTTGTAAAAATAAAGCACACGAGCTCCAGTATTCGCCGACCCCTTGTCTTCTTCCATCACCCTCACTGAACCTGAGTTTCAACTTTATCACACTGGTGCCGAAACCCGGGATGGAAGGAGATGCCACTGCCAGAAGCCCTCTGTCGACGCCGCTTGCGGAGATCATCCAGGCGCTCGCGGGACTACACCAACAACATCAAGCCGCCCAGTTGAAGATGGAGGAGCAGCAGGAACGAAGACTCGACGCACTCCTCCAGGAACAACGGGACGCCCGCGAGCAGTTCCGGAGCTGCTGGTGGCTGGTGGCTGGTGGCCGAGGGACGCGACGTCAAAGGAGTCATCAGCTGGTGGTACTGGAACAGTTCATCGCTAAGCTACCGAAGAAGACCGTGCAGTGGGTCCAGTGCCACCGGCCGACGTCGCTGGACCAGGCCATCACGTTGGCGGAGGACCAGCAGGTGGCGTGCCCTGGGGTCGGCGAGCCCCTTCCAACATCTCTCTCTCTCTCTCCCCTCTCCTTCTCTCTCACGCCCTATCCCTGCTCCCAGGTCCCGAGGCGGCATCCCGCCGTGACCGGCGCCACGCTGGAGGTCTGGCCCGAGCACCGAGCCGGTTCCGGCCTCACGCGCACCGCCCCGGGGAGGAATACCATCTGGGAATACCACCTCGCGCCAATCCCTTGACCCGCTTCCCGCCACCGGGGTGGCCTGGGCCGGCCTGTGGCGCTGTGGGGATCCGGGCCATTTTATTGACAGGTGCCCCGTGATGGAGGTGGACACCTTGATTCGGGTCCCCTATGTGCCACAGGCCGCCCCGATCAGACTGGGCTGTATCAGATACCTGTAAGTATTAAGGGGGATACGTATCACGCTTTGGTGGATTCGGGTTGTAACCAGACCTCAATCCATCAAAGTTTGATTCAGCCAGTGGCATTGGATAAGAGCCGCGAGGTTATGGTGCGGTGTGTGCACGGCGAGGTGTTGGGTTATCCTGTCGTGCCAGTTACGATTCAATTTAGGGGACAAAAGCATAGTGTGGAGGTGGCAGTTAATCCACACCTCTGGCACCCGCTAATTTTGGGGACCAATTGGCCGGGATTTCAATCTTTATTGGCATGTTTGTGTGCGGGTGCTCCTGGGCAAAAACAAAGGCACCGGACGGGAGCGACTGTTCAGGCTGGCGAAGCTGTGCCGGGACCGTCGGAGACTGTTCCGGAGGAACCGAGCGTGGCCGAAAATAACATCTTTTCGGACCGCGATGAATTTCCTCTGGAACAGTCCCGAGATGACACTCTAAAAAATGCGTTTGAACAGGTCCGAGTCATCGACGGCCAGCAGGATCGGCCAGATCAGCCGTATTTTGCCATGATTAAGGACAGGTTGTATCGGGTGAGGACACCCAGACAAAGGACACCCAGACAAAGCAAGATACAACCCAGTTATTAGTGCCTAAGAGCCGTCGGGAAATGCTATTGCAGGCAGCTCATTGTAATCCGATTGCTGGGCACCTCGGGCAGGCAGCCACGTTAAATCGTCTAATGACCCGATTTTTCTGGCCAGGCACTTATGAGAACGTGCGCAGGTGGTGCGCATCTTGTCAAGAATGTCAGTTAGTGAACCCTCCGGCCCATAGTAAAGCACCATTGTGCCCCCTTCCGTTAGTTGAGGTCCCCTTCGAGAGAACTGGTATGGACCTCATCGGGCCATTAGAACGATCAGCACGGGGGCATCGCTTTGCATTAGTCCTGGTGGATTATGCAACGCGATACCCTGAAGCAGTACCGCTTCGCAACATATCGGCGAAAAGTGTTGCGAGTGCACTGTTTCAATTAATCTCCCGGGTGGGAATCCCAAAAGAGATTCTCACCGATCAAGGCACGGCGTTTATGTCACGCACTATACCCGAACTATATGAGTTGTTGGGCATTAAATCGATTCGCACCAGCATCTATCACCCACAAACAGACGGCTTGGTGGAACGATTTAATCGCACATTAAAATCCATGATTCGTAAGTTTGTGCGGGAAGACGCAAAAAATTGAGATAAATGGTTAGAACCCCTCTTGTTCGCTGTACGGGAGGTCCCCCAAGCCTCCACGGGGTTTTCCCCTTTCGAGCTTCTCTATGGGCGCCAGCCCCGCGGGGTTTTGGATGTTCTTAGGGAGGCTTGGGAGGACGGACCTTCGAATAGCAAAAACGAAATTCAATACGTCCTGGACCTGCGAACAAAACTCCACACTTTGGGGCAGCTCTCTATGGAGAATTTGTTGCAGGCGCAGGATAAACAAAGTCGGTTGTACAACAGGGGCACTAAACTACGTAAATTTGCACCGGGAGATAAAGTACTCGTATTACTTCCCACATCCAGCTCAAAATTACTCACCAAGTGGCAAGGACCATTTGTGGTTACACGGCGGGTTAATGATCTTAACTATGAGATTGCTCGTTCAGATGGGGGGGAACACATCAAACATACCACCTCAATCTCTTTAAAAAATGGAATGAGGTGGAGTCAGCGATGCAGGCGACAGTGGTGAGCGTGGAGGAGGATCTCGGGCCAGAGGCGAATATAAAAGTACAATCCTCTCCTCTGGCCGTTTTTGGGGACCAGCTCTCGCCGTCCCAGATCGCTGATTTTCAACATCTGCAAGCGGAATTCGCGGATGTGTTCTCGCCTCTCCCTGGGCGAACAGATCTCATACAGCACCATGTTGAGACTGAGCCGGGCGTGGTTGTTCGCAGTCGGCCGTATAGGTTACCGGAACACAAGAAAAAAGTGGTCCAGGAGGAATTAGCGGCGATGCTGGATATGGGAGTAATAGAGGAATCCAACAGTGACTGGGCAAGCCCGATAGTTTTAGTACCTAAAACGGACGGCACTGTCCGGTTCTGTGTGGATTACCGCAAGGTGAATGCTGTATCGAAATTCTATGTGTATCCAATGCCAAGGGTTACTCGAGTTACTCGATCGGCTAGGCACGGTTTTATTCGACACTGGATTTAACGAAAGGATATTGGCAGATCCCCTTATCTCCAATGTCCAAAGAAAAGACTGCTTTCACGACGCCGTTCGGATTACACCAATTTGTCACACTTCCGTTCGGTTTGTTCGGGGCACCCGCCACCTTCCAGCGGTTGATGGACCGGATCCTACGGCCGCATGCTGCATATGCCGCGGAATACTTGGATGACATTATCATCTATAGTAATGACTGGGAGCGGCATGTGCAGCATTTGAGAGCGGTCCTCAAGTCGCTGAGGGGGGCGGGGCTCACGGCTAACCCGAA